CACACTCCTGGGCCTGCACACTTCTGTGTCTGAACACTCCCGGGCCTGCACACTCCTGATCCTGCGCACCCCTGGACTGTAGGGACTGTACAGTCCCAATCCTGCCCTCTCCTGGACCTGCACAGTCCTTGGCCTGCCCTCTCCTGGGCCTGCACACTCCGGGGCCAGCCCTTTCCTGGGCCTGTCCTCTCCTGGGCCTGCACACTCCTGTCAATGCAGACACCTGGGCATGCAGACCCCTGGGCCTGAACAGTTCTGGGCCTGGTTCCTGCTGTACCTGCACACACTTAGGTCCAAACACCTAGGTCTGCTCATCCTGGCCCATCACACTCCTCGGACTGAACACTCCTGGGTCTGCACACACAATGGCCTACACACTCCTGTGCCTGCTCCCTCCTGTGCATGCATACTCCTGGCCCAGCACACTGCTGGGCCAGCACAACATTGTCCTGCCCCCTCCTGTGCCTGCCCACTCAATGGATTGAACACTTCTGTGTCTGCATATTTCTGGGCCTGCACACTCCTGGGTCTACCTTCTCCTTGGCCTGCCCTCTCCTGGGCCTGCACACTCCCTGCCCTGCTCCCTCCTGTGCCTCAACACTTCTGGGCCTGCACATTCATGGGCCTGCTCCCTCCTTTGCCTCCACACTCCTGGGCCTGCACACTCCTGGGCATGCACACTCCTGGGCATGCACACTCCTGGGGCTGCTCCATCCGGTGCCTACACACTCCTGGGCCTGTATACTCCTGGGCCTGCACACTCTTTCGCCTGACCTCGCCTGGCCCTACGCACTCTTGGGCGTGCAATCTACTGGTCGTGCCCTCTCCTTGGCCTGCACACCCCTGGGCCTGCACACTCCTCTATCTGCACATTCCTGGGCCTGCACACTCCTGGACTTGACCTCTCCTGTGTCTCTGCACACTCCTGGGCCTGCACACTATTGGGCCTGCCCACTCCTGGGCCTACCCTCTCCTGGTCCTAAACCCTCCTGTGTATGCACACTAATGGGCCTGTACACTTCGGGGCCTGCACACTCCTGTGTCAGCACACTATTGGGCATGCACACTCCTGGGCCTGCACACTCATTGGCCTGCTCCCTCCTGTGCCTGCACACTCCAGGGCCTGCACATTCCTGGGACTGCTCCCTCCTGTGCCTCCACACTCCTGGGCCTGCACACTCTTGGGCCTGCACACTCCTGGGCCTGCTCGATCCTGTGCCTGCACACTCCTGGGCTTGTACACCCATGGGCCTGCAGACCCCTGTGCCAGCACACTCCTGGGCCTGCCCTCTCATGGGCCTGCACACTCCTGGGCCTGCCCTCTCCGGGTCCTGCCCTCTCATGGGCCTGCAGACTCATGGGCCTGCACACACATGGGCCTATTCTCTCCTGGGCCTAAACCCTCCTGTGTATGCACGCTAAAGGGCCTGCACACTCCTGGGCCTAAACACTATTGGGCCTGCCCTCTCCTGGGCCTGCACACTCTTGGGCCTGCCCTCTCCTGGGCCTGCACACACATGGGCCTACTCTCTCCTGAGCCTAAACTCTCCTGTGTATGCACACTAATGGGCCTGCACACTCCTTGGGCTGCTCCCTCCCGTGCCTGCACACTCCATGGTCTGCACATTCCTGGGCCTGCTCCCTCCTGTACCTCCACACTCCTGGGCCTGCACAATCCTGGGCCTGACCTCTCCGGGCCTGCACAATCCGGGGCCAGCCCTTTGCTGGGCCTGCACACTGACAGGCCTGCACACTCCTGTGCGTGCACCCTCCTCGGCCTGGACACACTTGGGCCTGCACACTCCTGGGAGTGCACACTCCTGGGCCTGCTCCCTACTGTGCCTCCACAATCCTGGGCCTACTCCCTCCTGTGCCTGCACAACCCAGGGCCTCCACACTCCTGCTTCTGCTCCCTCCTGTGCCTGCACACTCCTGGGACTGCACACT